TTAGCATTATTCCCCTGTCCCCATTTTATAGAAAATGGAAGCTCAGAAAGATCAGTCTCCAAGGTTACCAGCTTTTTTTTTTTTTTGTGGCCACCAAGAGATTCAAACTGAAGGCTGCCTGATGGCAAATCTGCTCTCCTTCCAGTAACATAAGCCACCTCACTCCAAACCAGCGAGTCAAATGGTTTTAATTCTTGCTGTTACTATGAGTTCACCTTGGAGGTTTTTACTTACCCCTGTTGTAGGCCTAGGAGCCCTGGTAGCGCAGTGGTTAAGCACTCGGCTGCTAACCAAGAACCCACTAGCCTTTCCACGGGAGAAAGATGCGGCAGTCTGCTTCCTTAAAGATTTACAGTTTTGGAAATCCTGTGGGGCAGTGCTACTCTGTCCTATACGGCCGCTATGAGTCGGAATCAACTCAGCGGCAGTGGGTTTGGTTTATAGTTGGGCTGTAGGCCTGGTCTCATGTCTCCACTCCCCAGGGTGAGAGGGTGGGCGGTGGGGCTAGAGAGACAAGTTCAATAGGCACTTTTACACACTGAAATGCATTACAGGCTGTCTCCTTGGCAAATGTAGTGTTGATACCCTCCTCCCAGACAATACATACAGTTGAGCCCTTGGTCAGCAGGGGCAGGATGAGGACTCTAAGTATAAAGAGTCTTCTTCATACTTAGCACTTTGCACAGTGCTGGACCTGGGTGGACTCTCAAGACATGTTAGTTCAATGAAGGAAGCAATCTGTCCCCTTAGATGAGCACTAAAGGGAGGTTTGTCAAATTTTGAGATGCCATTCTCTTTGCTTTCCAGAAGCTTAGATTCTAGCCTAGAACAAACTGATAAATAGGATGCCTTTTATTGTTTTAGTATTTTAAAAACTCTTTTTCTGCTTACTTGCCCATGTAAAATATTTGAAAAATGGATTTAACATAAAAGACAAGATAAAAGCCACCCAGAAATAATCACTGCCATCCTGTATGTATCCTTACAGTTATAACTGTGAGAACTAACAGCAGGCCAGATCTGTGTGAGAGATCCACCAGGTGGTAAAGAAGGAAGTTGGTCACGGTGGCAGAAAGAAGTCTTGCTCAGATGGTCCTGAGCCTGGACAGAAGCCAGCGGGTCAGAGCTGAACGGTCCTACCCACACCAGACACAGCCTCTGCTGTCCTTTTGTTCCAGGCAACTCAGGTCTCCCACAGATGTGCAGGCCTCAGATGCTAAGAAGTGTTCACATTCTTAAAGGCCGTGGTTTGAAAAGCAGATTATTAGTCACCCAAAAATCCACTTAGTAAGGAACCAAAGGAGATGAACTGTTTCTATCTGAGGAGGAACCTAGAATAATCATTATGCGGAAAAATGCACAGCCTCTATAGTAATTCAAGAAATCAACATAAATCACATCATGGTGGCACCCTTATTAAATAAATAAAAACTAAACACACACGCGCCCGCTGTGCTGATGTGACTGCGTGGAAACCCATACCCTTACTGGTGGGGCCCTGTCAGTGGAATGACCCTTTCAGGACTGCATCCACCAACGGGACTGTTGCATCTCAGGGATGCCGCCTCCTGGAACAGACCACGAAGGTCTCAAAGCTAACTTGTGGCCCAATCCCTTAACCCACATTCAAGGGAATGGGCCTGGAGAGAGGAGAAACTTGCCTTCTTCTCCCACCAGTCAGAAAAGCTGGGGTTCGAGGCAGCGTGCCGTCTTCCTAACTGCCAGCGTGTCCTCCTGCCGCCCCAGACCATCGCCTCAAAGAACGGTGAAACAGAGCAATGTGTGCAACACTTCACAGCGGTATTACTTCTTGTCAGGTGCTGTTGAGTTGATTTCGACTCAGAGGGACCCCATGTGACACAGTAGAACTTCCCTAGAGGGTTTTCTTGGCTGTAATCTTTACCAGAGAAGATTGCCAGATCTTTTCTCCCATGGAGTGGCCGATGGTTTCCAACCGCTGACCTTTCAGTTACCAGCTGAGCTCTTAACCATCGTGCCACCAGGGCTCCTTCAAAGAATGTATAAGGATGCAAAAATGAACATACCAATCTGGTAGAGCTAGGGTTTATTTAGTACCCGCCAGTGCCAGGCAGGTGTTTTAGACCTCATTTAATCCTCTCAGCAGCGTGGGAGGTAGGTACTATTACTATCTCCATTTTAATAAACCAAACCCAACCCACTGCCATTGAGTCGATTCTGACTCATAGCGACCTTATAGGACAGAGTAGAACTGCTGCATAGGGTTTCCAAGGCTGTAATCTTTATGGAAGCAGACTGCCACATTTTTCTCCTGTTGAGTGGCTGGTGGTTTTGAACCGCTGACTTTACGGTTAGCAGTTGAGCACTTTAACCACTGCACTGCTAGCGGTCCTTCCCGTCTTACTGGAGGAGGAAATTGAGGTTTAGAGATTAGGTAACTCACTCAAGGTCACACATACACAACTGGTAAGTACTCAGCCCAAATCTGAAATAGGCAGTCAGCATTTGAAAGCCTTAATGTCTGTGCTAAACTGTGTACATTACTGGCTGGGAGAGAAGTTAAAAAGGTATAGAATTTACTGTTGCATAGCTTGCTTTTCCATTTAAATTCATAAATTCGTTGAACTTCAGGTACATAGGATTGAATTAATCATAATTCTGATTTATGACACTCTCTCATCATTTCTTTCCCCAAGAATTTTTATTCACCACTGTTCGGTATTAGAAGAAGATAAATGAGTCACTTCTGAGAGAGTAATTTTTTAAGCTGCCTTGATTTAAGTGTTAAATTTCATTGTGGCATTTTTACCTAGAGGCAGTAAAAAGAAAGACAGAAAAATAAATGTACTTGTTGCCTCATACGCATGATAACCTTCTGACCTTCATTTGGAAGATTAATAATTCAAATAATTTTTCCCACTTTCACCTAATCATATGAAACTGGCCTCTTTTAGAAATCATTTCTCATTATTTTTTAGGCAGAGAAATTCCTTACCCGTACACATATACACACACACAGAAATGGATTTGTCTATCCTCAGACTACAGTATTCACAGTAAAAATAATCTCCTATAGTCCTCCCTGTGATTCATTTTTTCTGTCATCATTGTAAATGCAGGTGATTTTCCAAGAACTTTGCAGGTGTGTGTGGAGCAGGCAAAGTTCAGGCAGGAAGGTGTTGCAGTCAGCCTGGTCTCACGCCTGGCTCTGCCACTTGCTAGCTGCTGGGCAAAGAAACTTCTCTGGGCCTCATTTTCCTCACCTGTAACATGAGGCTAATACAGACCAGAAGTGGTTGTGAAGATGGAACAAGATGACAGGTTCAAGTACCTGGCACGAAGTAAAACAATGTTAGTTCTCACAGTTAGAGCTGTAAGGATACATACAGGATAAACCCCCCACCCAAAAAAAAAAAACCAAACCCGTTGCTGTTGAGTCAATTCCGACTCACAGCGACACTATAGAACAGAGTAGAACTGCCCCATAGGGTTTCCAAGGAGCAACTGGTAGATTCGAACTGCTCACCTTTTTATAAGCAGCCTGAGCTCTTAACACTGGGCCACCAGGGCCCCAGGATGGCACTGGTTATTTCCGAATGGTTTTCATCCTTTCCTTTATGCTTAAATCTACTTTTCAAATATTTTACATGGGCATGTAAGCAGAAAAAGAGTTTTTAAAGTATTAAAACAATAAAAAGGGATCCTATTTACAGCCTTTTCTAGGCTAGAATCTAAGCTTCTTGGAGGCAAAGAAGAGTGGCATCTCAAAATTTGACAAAGCTCCCATAGTGCCCATCTAAGGGGACTGATTGCTTCCTTCATTGAACTAACATGTCTTGAGAGTCCACCCAGGCCCAGCACTGTGCCAGGTGTTGAGTATGAAGTGGATTCTGCCTCGGTGGACTGTGGCCTCATCCTGTATGGCCCATCAGCCCAAACAGCAGCTGCTCTCCAATCTTTGCTCTTCTTCACTCTGATAAACCATTCCTGCAGAGCTCACACCTGCCTCTGCCGTGCTTTGCTACAGATGACATAAGCCTTGTGCATCCATCAGTTCCTAGAAGAAAACAGAATTGCACCTGATAAGGGCTTAACTAAAGATAACTGACTAAAGGGGCTGCTCAAAAAGCTGTGGGCAGGATTCAGGGAACCACTAGGCATATTGATGCCCTCAAGGATGAGAAACAGCAGGAAGCCATGACTAACCCTAGGCCTGAAGGGGAAATAGTATTTTGAAGCTTCTTGAAAGCTTAAGGAGCCCTGGTGGCGCAATGGTTAAGAGCTAGGCTGCTAACTGAAAGACTGGCAGTTCGAACCCACCCAGTGGCTCCAAGGGAGAAAGACCTGGCGATCAGCTCCCATAAAGATTACAGCCTAGGAAATTCCCTGGGGCAGTTCTACTCTGTCCTGTAAGGTTGCTAGGAGTCAAAATTGACTGGAAGGCACCTAACAGCAACAACAATATAAAAAGCTTGAACTGTGAATCACCGATCAAGGGCTGTAATACCAGTGAGGCAGCTATTGCCGTACCCTGGCTTGGAAGCAGGGCGATAATGGAGGAGCAAATACTCGGACCTCTCTCTCCTCCTGCGCTCTCGCTTCCATTGCCTGCCGTTGGACTGAAACCAGACACCAGAGGGCAAGGAAACCCAAGTGGTGCAGGCAAAGTGGTACTCTCCTTAGTGACAATTTTATGGAGGAGCCAAGTTAAAATGTACACGTCATTAAGAACCCTCTAAAGAAGGGCAGCAATTTCAGGCTTGGGTTGGGCACTGGGGAAATGTTTTAGTTCAGATCTCTTTAAATCAGGCCTCCTAAATTATTAATCTTTCAATCCCTGCTCCTGACGTGAACTGGAAAATGCTCATCAAAAGGCTAAATTAACTCACCGAAGCTTCATAGGTTTTTTTGTTTCATATTTTATTCTGGTTAGATTTGAAGCAATTCTAGAGGGTGAGGGGTTGCTTTGTTGAGTCTCTAGACTGCCTCTAGAACACCTTTATTTTTTATTTTCATAGTAGGCCTCAAAGACAGAGACGAGAAGCACGTGAAGATGCCCACAAGCAAGGCAGGTATGGTCACAAATGCACACAGCTCTGAAAGACGTTTCTTCCCCACACCTCAGCTGTGCTTATTTTCAGCAGTGTGCCCCTCTCACCAAGGAGCAGGAAGCAGAGGGTGATGGATCTAAAAGCAGAATATGGGAAGGGTACTCTTGGATCAAGCTGGGTGGGAGAGAGGATGTTGGCAACCGTGAGGACTGGCCTTCCTCCTCTTGAAGGTCCCCAGCTTTCTTCCTTACATCCATAAGCTGAGTTGTTGTTGTCATTAGTTGCTGCTGAGTCAGCTCGCTCATGGCGAACCCACGTGCAGCAGAACGAAACGTTGTGCAGTCCTGCGCCACCTGCATGAATGTTGGTATGCTCAAATCCATTGCTGTGGCCACCGTGGATTTTGAATGCCTTCCCACCTACCTAGGGTATTCATCTTCTAGCACTTTATCTGTCCGTATTCTGTTGTGAACCACCAGGTTTTTATGGGCTAATTTTCAAAAGTAGTTTGCCAGGCCTTTCTTCCTAGTCTGTCTTAGTCTGGAAGCTCTGCTGAAACCCATCCACCATGGGTGACCCTGCTGGTATTTGAAATACCAGTGACATAGCTTCCAGCATCACAGCAACGTGGAAGCTACCACAGTACGACAAACTGACAGGTGGGTGATGGATAAGCAGGGTAGCTGAGCCTTTATTCACTAGCTGAAATTCTCTCCCTGGCTCACTTCCTTTTCTACCAGCACAGTTATTTCCTCACTTTAGAAGGAGATTTCCTGTCAGCTCGGTGGTATTGGCTCCTCCCCTTTGCATACAACTTCGTAGACTGAGAAGTGCTCCCAAGCACCTTATCTCTTTAACATTCACACCCCTGTCAGGTCCCAGAGCTTTTCTTTTATTAGTTGAGGAAACCAACACTCAAGGGAACAAGATGCCTAGAGCCACATAGCAAGCAGTGTTGTCAGAACTGAGGTCCAAGCCCTGTTTTTCTGTCTCCCAGCCACTTTGTTCCCCTACAATGCTAAATGATTTCTTCCAGAAGGAAGATAGCAAAGGACTTAAAGGTGGACTGAGCTAGCTGTGAGGAAACTGTGTGTACTGAGGATAAGGTGCATCAGGGTTGTGGTCTCAAGATGGTGTCCCTGACAAGCAGCATCAACATTGCCCAGACCTATTGGATCAGAAACTGCAGGGGATGGGGAGGTAGGGGTGGGAGCTCAGGAATCTGGGTTTTAACAGGCTCTCCAGATGATGCTGATGCATGCCAAAGTTTGGCAACCACTTCCTCAGGGGGAAAGGAAAAATATGTGCAGAGGTGGTGGCGGTGGGGAGAGTAGAGAAGAACTACCGACTCTGGAGAGAATACATACTTGATGTTAGCATGTGTAAGCATGGTGTCAGCATGCGGTCACATGATGTCAGCATGTGTTAGTATGATGTTAGCAGGAAAGGTAGTTAATTATTTCTGAGCATTCTAAAGATAGTGCTGATGGGCAGATGAAGTGTGTTCAAGGCCATGGCAGCATTATTTGTAATAGCAGAAGACTGGAGTTAACCCCAATGTCCACCAATGAGGTCTAGTCAAGTGAATTATGGTGCATTCATGTAATGGACACTGTGCAGTGTAAAAAAGAATGAGGATGATTGGGATACCCCGATATAGAAAAAAAATCCAAGGTATATTAAGTTAAAAAAAGCAAGATGTAGTAGGAAACCAAACCAAACCAAACCCGTTGCCGTCGAGTTGATTCTGACTCATAGCAACCCTATAGGACAGAGTAGAACCACCTGTTTCCAAGGTGTGGCTGGTGGATTCGAACTGCTGACCTTTTGGTTAACAGCTGAGCTCTTAACCACTGCACCACCTCCAGGGCTCCAGATGTAGTAAACATTTCATATAATATGTTAAATTCGTGTATAAAAAAGAACATATATTTGTATTCACTTGTACATATAAGAAGCTCTGGACAATAGATAAGGAACAATAAGAGTGGTACCTGTGGATGGGGAAATGGAGTGAATGGAGGTAGAAGTGGGAGGCAGACTTTTCACTGCATTTCCTTTTTTAAAAAGTGTTGAGCCTTGTGAATATATTACCAATTTTTTAAAAAGTGAAAATAAATAAAACTGGTGCTAGCAGCAATTCAGAAGAAGCAGCAAAACCAGCTGGCTTCTTGTTGGCATGGAGACCAGACAGTTGGCATTTAACATGTGGGCGAGTCCATCCTGCCTCCACAGAGTGGGCCACACAGGGGCCCAGGTAACCAGGCTCAGCCCACTGGCTCTCCACTGTAGCTCACACCCCCACGGAAGCCAAGGTCCTTGGCAGTATCTGGACTTATTAATTAGGGCCAGGGCCAGCCATTCTCGGCCTTCGTTACACATTAAAAAATTATCTGTGTTTTAAAAATACCAGCTCACAGGTCCTATTCTCAGACCTCCCAAATCAGAATCTCTGTGGCGGGGCCTGGACATCAGTAATTTTTTAAGTTCCTTCGGTGATTTTAACGAGTGACCACAGTTGAGAAATAGTCTTGGACCTTCTGGGTCAGTTCATTTATCCAGAAAGCTGAAGAAAGGGAGAGGGGGTACCCAGTAGCTTAAAAGAAAAAATAACACACCCTGTCAAACCTGTCATGATCAAGAGCCTGAATGCAAATGATTTTTTATTCTGGGTTGGTCAGAATCCAAGATTGACTTTTTTTTTCCTCCACAGCCCAGTTCTGAAACGAAGCCCTGACATCACCAAATCACCACTGACAAAATCAGAGCAGCTTCTGAGGATAAACGACCATGATTTCAGTATGAGGCCTGGCTTTGGAGGTATGACGTGCGCTCTCTTTCGGGTCGTCTTCTTTTCTCGGGTCCTTCTGTCTGTCCAAGTTACCCATGTGGTGCAAACAGTCTGTTCTTAGGTACTGTCTGAAAGGTTGGCAGTTTGAATCCACCCAGCAGTGCCATGGAAGAAAGGCCTGGCGATCTACTTCCATAAGATTACAACCATTCTCCATAAGAAAACCCTAGAGTGCAGCTCTTGTGTGAAACAAGCTGGGTAGCCACGAGAGAATCGACATTACCGTCAAGTGGGAATTGACTTAACAGCAACAGTTTTGGTTTTTCGTTTCTGTCTGTCCGTGGGCAGGAAATCATGCCAAGGGAACTGTCTTAGTCATCCAGTGCTGCTACAACAGAAATACCACAAGTGGATGGCTTTAACAAAGAGAAGTTTATTTCCTTACAGTAAAGTAGGCTAAAAGTCCAAATTCAGGATGTCAGCTCCAGGGGAAGGCTTTCTCTCTCTCTCGGCCTTCTCATCAGTGTTCCCCTGGACTAGCAGCTTCTCGGCTCAGGGACCCCGGTCCAAAGGATGCGCTCTGTTCCTGGCACTGCTTTCTTGATGGTATGAGGTCCCCAACTCTCTGCTTGCTTCCCTTTCCTTTTATCTCTTGAGAGATAAAAGGTGGTGCAGGCCACACCCCAGGGAAACTCCCTTCACAATGGATCAGGGATGTGACGTGGGTAAAGGTGGTGTTACTATCCCACCCTAATCCTCTTTAATATAAAATTACAATCACAAAATGGAGGCCAACCACACAATTCTGGGAATCATGGCCCAGCCAAATTGTTACACACATTTTTGGGGGGGACACAGTTCAATCCATAGCAGGACCACACAGCTTGGCTCTCCCCTTATCAGGTCTGCCACAGCTATATTGGTGGACAAGGCACCAAGCCCACAGCACCCTCTGAGTATCTGCCCGTCCAGCCCGGGCTGTTGCTGCTCACCCGGCCCCGCTCCTGACAAGGAGAGACCAGGATCAGTGATGCCAGCAGCTGGCTGTGGGAAGGGCAAGGGGAAGACAGAGCAGCTGCAGCCTAGAGCTGCTTCCTGAAAACACTCTGAAATAACAACCTTGGACTAAATTTGTTCTCATCTGGGAGTTGGCAGCTGGAACACCGGGTACTTATCTGAGGACAGAGTGTGGCCTGCTGGGTTTAATTAAATGAAAATAACTTTAGAAAATAATAATTTAGAGCAGAATGATGCCAAGGCCCTCTGAAGCTTAGCCTACAGCTGCCAGGTTTCAGCCCCCTTGGTGTCAAATAGGGTTTCGTTCTTATGGGGGGATTTCCCTGGAAAATAAAACATTTATCTATTTTAAAAATCATTCTCATGCCTTTTATTTCTTTCAGTCACCTTTGCTAAAAGAACAAACGGGCTTTGTAAGGGAGCCTTTATCCAGTCCATAATCTGCTACTTTTGGATCCAAACTCACCTTTTCACCCATGATGATTTGAGTGTGCCTCCTGCCTGCCCCACAGGCCTGAAAGTAGGGAGGAAAGAAGAGTAGAATCCACTCTTTACAATGCTCTCTTACTGTTTAAGGAGCCCTGGTGGTGCAGTGGTTAACCAAAAGGTCAGCAGTTTGAACCCACCAGACACCTCATGGGAGAAAGATCTGGCAATTTGCTTTTGTAAAGATTACAGCCTAGGAAACCCTATGGGGTGGTTTTACTCTGTCGTATAGGGTCACTGTGAGTTAGAATTGACTCAACAGCACACAACAACAACTTACTGTTTATGAATATTACATTTTGATGGTCCAGAAACGAGAAAGTCTAATGTTTTCAAGGCTACCCAGGTGCATCATGCCCACTCCCCACCCCCCACCCAGCTAATCCATTGTGTAGCAAAGATGTACACCTGTGGACTTAGCAAATGCTCTGCATATACCTTTGGTTCTGAGTGCCTATTACCAAGTGCTATGGATTGAATTGTGGTGCCCCAAAAAGTTATGTTGATGTCCTAACCCCGTACCTGTGAATATGATCCTTTTTGGGAATAGGTTTTTCTTTTGTTATGTTAATGAGGTCATACAAGAATAGGGTGGGTCCTAAACCTAATCATTCTGAGTGGTGTCTTATAAAGGGGGTACAAACACAGAGAGACAGACACACAAGAGGAGAGGATGGAAGCAGATGCAACTGTAAGTAGCAAAGGAACACCTAGGATCACCGGCAGTCACCAGCAAGGGCAGATTATCCCATAGGCAAGGTAAGCACAGTGCTTACCTTGTTTACCAGATCATCATTTTCACTACAGGTTAGTAAGTAAGCACAAGCAAGCCCATGCTTGCCTTGCTTAATGTAAGCCTGTGCAAACCTTGCCTACTGATTAATCTGCTGATGAGCCCTAGGAAAGTAAGACACCAAGCAATGCCTTTTTCATGGCCAGACAGAAACGTTGGCTTCCATGATGAAAGAGAGTGCAAAATCAGGACGTAAATACAGGGAATGAAGCAGGTGACCTCATGCTAAGGAGTCATTCAATTACTCCTTAGATCAGACCCACCGTTTGACCTCTCTTCATCATAACTTTAGATACGCATGTACCCAACGAAGGAGGCTCTATATTAATATTGTCATTTCAGAATCGCCTGATGATTTAGACCAAAAAAAATTTTTTTTTTTTTTTACCTTTGCTGGAATATTCCACCCATTGCTGTCAAGTTGATTCTGACTCATAGAGACCCTGTAGTGATAGACTAGAACTATCCCATGGGGTTTCCAAGGAGCAGCTGGTAGATTCGAACTGCTAACCTTTTAGTTAGCAGCCGAGCTCTTAGGAGCGCAGTGGTTAAAGCGATCAACTGCTAACCCAAAGGTCGGTGGTTCAAAACCACAAGCGGCTCCGATGGAGAAAGATGCAGCAAGCTCCTTCTGTCCAGATTTACAGCCTCGGAAACCCTACGGGGTCGCTATGAGTCAGAATTGACTCAATGGCAGTGGGTTGGAATATTCCAGAGAGCCAGATTGTGATTCTACTCTTTTATCTCTAGTTTGACTTCAGGTTGGCATGTGGGAACACCAAACCTTCAAATCTGACATGATACCCAGTTTCCAGGGAAAACAATCCTTTCCCTCTTCCATAGTAAAAGTTTAAGTCAAAAGAATAAATGCTCTTGTGCCCCGTCCCCAGGCCCGGCCATTCCCGTTGGCGTTGATGTGCAGGTGGAGAGTTTGGACAGCATCTCAGAAGTCGACATGGTAAGTGTTTCTCTGACCAGGGTGGTGGGCAGGGCGGGTGCACAGTGGGCCTGTCCTGGGCCAGGTGCTCTACGCACCTGAATTGACTCAGTCTCACAACCCCCCCAGAAGGTGGAGTTCCCACGTTCATTTTATAGATGGCTCAGGGAGGTTAAGACACTTACCAAAAGCCACCCAGTTAGTATGAAACAGAGCCAGATGACAGACTTCAACTTCCCCCCTCCAGTGCCCAGGCTCTTGCTGCCAGGACACATTACTCTGTCAAAGGCTTTCAAATGTAAACAGTAGAGTCCAAAGTTGCAGCTGCCACATAACTGGACACGTATTACTACTGTGAATCCCATGCTGTGGAAGTGCAGAAGTGAAAGGATGTCCCTTCTCTTTCTATTTGCTGGGTTTAGATAAAAACTGGAATGCTCTACCACTCCTTGACTTACAGGGCTCTTTAGGGCCTTAATTTGGGTTCCCCGAGAAGCAGACCTGAGACAAGCATTCTAGCACAAGTAGTTTATTTGAGTGATCCCAGGAAACACCAGAAGGGAAGGAAGCAAAAAGGACTGAGCTATCAAATTGGTTGAGAGCATTGGTGGTTCAGTGGTAGAATTCTCACCTTCCATGTGGGAGACCTGAATTCAGTTCCTGGCCAATGCACCTCAGGCACAGCCACCACCTGTCTGTCAGTGGAGGCTTGCATGTTGCTATGATGCTGAACAGGTTTTAGTGGAGCTTCTAGACTAAGATGGACTAGGAAGAAAGGCCTGGTGAGCTATGTTGGAAAATCAGCCAATGAAAACTCTATGGATTGCAGTGGTCCTATCCACAACCGATCATCAAACTGGTTACTATCATGGGACTCAGACCCACTGGGATACTCCAGGAGTCAGCAAAGAACACACCTCAGGGTTGTCCCAACTAAGGGTTTAGGAAGCTGGGGTATTTATCCACCAGCCCCATCTCTGGTTAAGAGCTGCTCCTGGAGACATTAACTCTCAGGCACTCTCATTTGTCCTGTGTGTGGGCCTGACGAGCCCTCAGGCAGAGGTCTCCGGTGTTGGCAGTAGTAATGTTCTCAGTACAGAGCGAATGTCCAGCGGGTGGGGTGGGGTTCAGGGCCACTGTTTCTGCTACAGGCCTGTTGCTGAGTTACTCCCCTGCAGTGTTGTCTTCTTCCTACTGTAGGCAAGCCCAGAGACTAGGAGTGAGACCCTCAAGGACGAGGCTCACTTGGCTCCGTCTTATCCCCCAGCCAGGTGACAGGCCCCATGGGGAGGGCACAGCATCTCCTGCTGACACCCTGGGGGGTTTGTTTGTGTGGGGGCTTCCCCTCTCTGTCCCTCCACCCGCAGGACTTTACGATGACCCTCTACCTGAGGCACTACTGGAAGGATGAGAGGCTGTCTTTCCCGAGCACCAACAACCTCAGCATGACGTTTGACGGCAGACTGGTGAAGAAGATCTGGGTCCCTGACATGTTTTTCGTGCACTCCAAGCGCTCCTTCATCCATGACACCACCACAGACAATGTCATGCTGCGGGTCCAGCCTGATGGGAAAGTGCTATACAGTCTCAGGTAGGACCACTTCTCCACCCTTCTCTTGTGCCTTTTTGTCTGCAGAATTGTTTTATACCTAATGCCTAGGAAGAAAGGCAAATCATTTGTCTTAACCAAGCAGATCATTGGTTTCACAACGGCAATTTTGCTTCTTGGCTTTGAATATTAATGCATCTGGCTTCTAACTTTTCAGTAGCTGCTAACTTCTTGTCACAACATCCAGGAAAACCAACTTTACACATGAGTAAAAATTTTAAAGAATATTCCATCTTGACAATACATTTGGGGAGATTTCTCAAGCTGGTGCTTATGATGAGTGCCCTATACTGTAGATTACATTTCAGTTTTTAAAAGTTTACTTTCATTCTCACCCTTGTTTCACAGAATGTACCTTGAAAACTTGAAAACCTCTCTTGAATTCATTTCATTGCATGGGAGAATCTGTGTAATGTTTTCTTAGTCAAAGAATGTATTGGAAACATTGCCATCATTAATATAAACTAGGTACTTTGAAAACATAGGGGAAAAAAGTATACCTTAATAAAAAGGTTTGTTTCTCTAGTAGGAGTCAGAGAAATTCACAACACATTCTTCTCAAAGACTTGCCTTCTCCAATCTCTTTGATTACCATTTTTTGAGTATATTTTAAAAATTTGGTTAAAAAAAAAATTTTTTTTTACTCCATGATTTGAACTCAACTACTAACCTGAAGGTTGGCAGTTCAAACTCACCTAGACACTCCACGGAAGAAAGGCCTGGTGATCTGCTTCCAGCCAAGAAAACCCTGGAACAGTTCTACACTGTTTTACACTGATTTACTATTTCTTGTAAAATCCACTATCAGTTTTTATAATTCTATTACCAACAATAATTTTATAAAACCAGACTATAAATACATGTTTGTAAGCATTTGCTTGCTTACAAGACCGACAAGCGAGTGTAAATCTGACTAAGTGTTGACTTATGTTTACGTTAATGAGTAAGATGAAAATGAATCATGAAGAACCAGGTAGACATGAGCAAATTCTTTGCTGAATTGGCTAATAGCTTTCAAATACTGGAAGAATATTTTCTCAATATTTTATACTATTCATAATGCAATGGCTATAGAATAAAACACTTTTAAGTTTAATCTGCTTTCTTACGTCAAAACGATCAGCAAAACAGTAAATCAAGCCCTGAGTTGTAGCATTTGCCAATTTCTGTTGTGTAAATAATTCCATCATACCTGATTTCAGGCTATCAACGTGATGTCAGATGGGAAGAGGTGCTCAGTAGCACACCATCATATAGCATTTCCATCATACAGATTCAATAGATGTAAATAACTTCAAGAGTATAATAACAGTAAAAATTAGGAAGTGGTGAGTTTTGAGTATTATTACTTTTATTTTTAATGTAACTGTTCAATTGTAAGTTTATATATTTTTGTTTAAAAGCTGGCTCACAAAATTCTGAAAATGTAACCATCAGCTCTCATGAGCCAGTAGAAGTCTACCGCAGCACATCACTGGACATGACCACAAGAAGAACACAGGAAACAAGGGAGTAGAAAACACCCTGTGTTCAGAACCAAAATCGGCAGTGAGCCTCACCCAGCCGGGGAAACACTTCAGTCCTTGTGCCTAAAAACAGATGACTTGATTTTTCATTGCAAATAAAATCATTCTTGTTGTTGTTAGGTGCTGTTGAGTGGGTTCCAACTCATAGCAACCCTATAGGACAGAGTAGAACTGCCCCACAGGGTTTCCAAAGAGCGGTGGGTAGATTTGAACTGCAGACATTCTAGTTAACAACAGCCATAGCTCTTAATCACTGTGCCACCAGCTTAATTAAGATTTGCTTAATTTTGAATTAAAAAAAAAAAAGAGGCCTAGGCTATTGAGGACTACCACTTTGAGCTTTATTTTGGGGGAAAACATGGAGCAGCTGGGTGTTGACAACTCTGTCAGCAACTGGTCAACTTTTAAAATGCATTCTAATATGCCGTCCTGACACCTCGTTCACTCATCGATTCATTCAACAAATTTTTATTAAGAGTCTTCTGGGTGCCAAGGTGGCCCTGGAGTTGTACAAATGAAAGCTCTGCCAGGTCCTGTCTTAAGCTCTGGGGGCATAAAGATAAATGATACAAGCTCAGTGCCCTTAGTATAACTGCAGGCTAATGGAGGAGACAGACATGGAATCAAATGTAAATGGAGGTATATACCCAGTGCAGTAGGTGGAGAGACAGGGAGGGACAGGTAACAGGATGGTGAAATTGAAATTTACTGAGCACCGAGATAGGATAAAAGTGAAATTCCCAGTGAGATGCTCCATCACACTAAACCAACTGCTGTTGAGTCGACTCCAACTCATGGTGACTCATATGTGTCAGAGTAGAACTGTCCTCCACAGTCAATGGCTGATTTTTCAGAAGTAGATCACCAGGTCTTTCTTCCAAAGTGCCTTTGGGTGGACTTGAACCTCCACCCTTTCAGTTAGCAGCCAAGTGAATTAACCATTTGCACCACCCAGGGACTCCTCCATCACACTAGGTAGATTTTACTAAGAAAATGTTCAGAAACCAATTCCACTGCTCTTGAACTCCTAGTCAACTTCAAGATATGAATGAGTTTATGATTGCGGGAGGAAGATAAGATTTGTGAGATTTTTTTGGGGGAGATAGTTGTGGCCATGCCATGAGCCCAAGCCCTGGAGGGTGGGAAAGGGGGACTACCTCCTAAACCCAGGCCCAGTGAAAGGACTTCACTGGGGCCACTGGGAGAACTTGGGGTGTGTGCTTACAGTTGGGGGCTCTGAGCAATTAGAGGGTGAGACAAGAGCCATCTCACCACCCTCAGGGCAGATCCAGGAGAAGTTTTTGCTGTGGTGGGATCAGTCTGCATTTCCAGAGTTGTTGGGAATATGTAAGTTTGTGTGGAGTGGATGGTGGGTGAACCAAGAGCTGGGTGGGGAGTTGCTGCTAGGGAATGGAGACCTGCAGCCTAACAGTGGGGATAAAATACTTAGGTAAGAAAGTATCAGCTTTAACCATAGAGCAGACCCAGAGAGCTCGAGGTCACTTACCCAAAGAACTGTCCTGCCCCTCCTTCCCTTGCTCCTCCCACTTCCATCCATGCAGGAAGTTATCAGAGATGGGCAGAAACTGACTGCTCAAATGCCAACTTTGTACCTCAACTGGGGAGGAGGAGCAGAAGTCTTAATTTGAATGAAATTTGAAGTGTTGATTAATACTGGACCAAAATTTTTTGAATTTCTGAATTGAGATGTGTTTCATTACTTAAGAAGATTATGGCTGTCTATTACAAGACAATGAGTAGAAAAGTCACAGAACCTGACAAGTTTCCATCCAAGACAAGGAAGATCCACTTCTCCCCTCATGAATCAATTTAAAGAGACTGAGGAAAACAAAAGGAGCCCTCGTGGCTCAGTGGTTAAAGTGCTAGGCTGGTCACTAAAAGGTCTCCAGTTTGAACCCAGCAGCCACTTCAGAGGAGAAAGATGTGGCCATCTGTTCCTGTGAAGATTACAGCCTTGGAAACCCTATGGGGCAGCTCTACTCTGTCCTACAGGGTTGCTATGAGTCGGAATCCACAGCAAGTGGGTTTGGTTTGGTTTTTAGAGGAAAACAAAAATAAACATGGGTTTTAAAATCCTGTTTATCAGAATTTCCACGGGAGATAAGACTCTACCCAGCTGCTAGCAGTACAAGACTCCTGCATAAGCAATCCCTGCAGAAGACAACCATTTCCACACTCAAATGAAGTGGGAAAAACAAAGCAAATATTTGGATAATTCAGTTTCAAGTATTTGGATAACTAGTGTCCATTTAAATGAAAAGTTTTTTTTTTTTTTCTTTTAGGCAGTGAATTATCCAGATAATTTCCACAACTTTATACATAGCAAATTTTCTGTGGTTGGAGGAAAACTAGAACATTCAGTACCAGCCACCGGCCTTTCATCATGTCCTGCTGTGAGACTTCCCACTGGACCGGAGATCTCTCATCTATAACTAATCCATATTTGTTTATTCTTTGATGCAGAGTCCTATTTTCCTGTGTAAAACACTGAAACAAAATCATTAGATGCCAGCAAGTTCTTGCATGTTGTTACAATAAAACCTTTCAGTGATTTTCCATTAACATGGTCTTCTTGAATCATCCACTAAAAACACCTATGCCCACTTATAGGTATATCAAGGTAAAAATATCAACATTGTAAAAAAAGAGAAAAGGTGCTGAATTTGGTCAACTGACATTAAGTGCTTCATTAGGGTTATTTCTGAAACATTATATACAAATTATTGAAGATCAATAAAATCAGTAAAAGAGCAGGAGAACATATATGTTCTTATGGCTTCTTTTAAAAGAAACCAAAGATTTCCTTAAGCATCTCATGATTTGGTAGCTTGAACACCTTGGAAGATAGGCCTAGTGATCTGCTTCCATTCAGATTACAGCCAAGAAATCCTAGAAGCAGTTCTACTCTGTAACATGTGGGGTCATCACAAGTCGCAACCTTGGGTTAACATGAATATCTAAGAGTATTCCAATCAGTGTATCACTTATAAACTACTTACCTAAATCTTGACACGCTGCTTATGATTTATAAGAAGGAGGCAGTTATCCTACTGGAAGGAAGCAGAGGCCTTTCCTGTTTGTTTTATCATTTAGCACTTGTGTTTTGCAGATTCTGAAAGCATGGGTTTTGTCTTTTTGCTCCTAGGGTTACAGTGACTGCAATGTGCAACATGGACTTCAGCCGGTTCCCCCTGGACACCCAAACTTGCTCGCTGGAAATTGAAAGTTGTGAGTAGACTTGTATCCAGACATTAGCACAGGGCTCCTCAATAACTCTCTCATTCCCGTGGCCGTTGAGTTGATTTCGACTCATAGGGACCCTACAGGAAAGAGTAGAACTGCCCCGTAGGGTTTCCAAGGATCGGCTGGTGGATTCGAACTGCTGATCTTTTGGTTAGTAGCCGAGCTCTTAACCACTGCGCAACTAGGTCTCTAAAATGCCTCTAACTCTAAGTAGCAGAAATAGCAGTATTCTTCATTCATGACTACACTTGTAAAGTGGTTTCTTAGAGTAACGCTAACTCTAAGGCCTGGCTGTCTACTTTCAAAAATCAGCCAATGAAAACCCTATGGATCACAATGGAAAGTTGTCTGATCTGCAACCAATCATGGGGATGGCACAGGACCTAGCAGCATTTTGTTCTGTTATACATAGGGTCACCATGAGTTGGGGGCTGGGTTGATGGCAGCTAACAACAACAGGGTAATTTTAAAAATCAGGGACAATTTCAGGCTAACAACTTTTATTCCCATGTTGTTGTTGTTAGGTGCTGTCGACTTGGTTCCAACTCATAGCGACCCTATGCACCACAGAAGGAAACACTGCCCGGTCTTGCACCACGTTCACAATCCTTGTTATGCTTGAGCCCATTGTCCCAGCCACTGTGTCAGTCCATCTCGTTGAAGGTCTTCCTCTTTTTCGCTGACCCTGTACTTTACCAAGCATGATGTCCTTCTCCAGGGACTGATCCCTCCTGACAACATGTCCAAAGTATGTAAGACATAGTCTCACCATCCTTGCTTCTAAGGAGCATTCTGGTTGTACTTCTTCCAAGACAGATTTGTTCGTTCTTTTGGCAGTCCATGGTATATTCGGTATTCTTAGCCAACATCGCAATTCAAAGGCGTCAATTGTTTTTTTGGTCCTTCTTATTCATTGTCCAGCTTTCGCAAGCATATGATGTGATTAAAAATATCATGGCTTGGGTCAGGTGCGCCTTAGCCTTCAAGGTGACATCTTTGCTTTTCAACACTTTAAAGCGGTCTTTTGCAGCAGATTTGCCCCATGAAATGCGTCTTTTGATTTCTTGACTGCTGCTTCCATGGATGTTGATTGTGGATCCAAGTAAAATGAAATCCTTGACAACTTCAATCTTTTCTCCATTTATCATGATGTTGCTTATTGGTCCAGTTGTGAGGATTTTTGTTTTCTTTATGTTGAGGTGTAATCCACACTGAAGGCTGTAGTCTCTGATCTTCACCAGTAAGTGCTTCAAGTCCTCTTCACTTTCAGCAAGCAAGGTTGTGTCGTCTGTATATTGCAGGTTGTTAATGAGTCTTCCTCCAATCCTGATGCCCCAATTCTGATTCTTCAGCTTCTCAGATTATTTGCTCAGCATACAGATTGAATAGGTATGGTGAAAGGATGCAACCCCGATGCACACCTTTCCTGACTTTAAACCACACAGCATCCCCTTGTTCTGTCCGAACAACTGCCTCTTGATCTATGTACAGGTTCCTCATGAGCACAATTAAGTGTTCTGGAATTCCCATTCTTTGCAATGTTATCCATAATTTGTTATGATACACACAGTCGAATGCCTTTGCATAGTCAGTAAACACAGGTAAACATCTTTCTGGTATTCTTTGCTTTCAGCCAGGATCCATCTGACATCAGCAATGATATCCCTGGTTCTGTGTCCTCTTCTGAATCTGGCCTGAATTTCTGGCAGTTCCCCATTAACATACTGCTGCAGCTGCTTTTGAATGATCTTCAGCAAAATTTTACCTACTTGTGATGTTAATGATATGGTTCGATAATTTCCGCAGTCGGTTGAATCACCTTTCTTTGGAATAGGCATAAATGTGGATCTCTTCCAGTTGGTTGGCCTGGCAGCTGTCTTCCAAATTTGTTTGCATAGCCGAGTGAGCACGTCCGGCCCTGCATCCGTTTGTTGAAGCATCTCAATTGATATTCCATCAATTCCTGGAGACTCATTTTTCACCAACGCTTTCAGTGCAGCTTGGACTTCTTCCTTCAATACCATCGGTTCCTGATCATATGCTACCTCTTGAAATGCTTGAACGTCGACCAATTCTTTTTGTGTGTGTAGTGACTGTGTATTCCTTCCATCTTCTTTTGATGCTTCCTGTGTTATTTAATATTTTCCCCATAGAATCCTTCACTATTGCAACTTGAGGCTTCAATGTTTTTTTTAGTTCTTTCGGCTTGAGAAATGCTGAGCGTGTTCTTCCCTTTTGGTTTTCTAACTCCAGATCTTTGCACATGTCATTATAATACTTTACTTTGTCTTCTCATGCTGCCCTTTGAAATCTTCTGCTCAGTTCTTTTACTTCATCATTTCTTCCTTTTGCTTTAGCTACTCGACATTCAAGAGCAAGTTTCAGAGTCTCTTCTGATATCTATTTTGGTCTTTTCTTTCTTTCCTGTCTTTTTAATGACCTCTTGCTTTCCTTATGTATGATGTCCTTGATGTCATTCCACAGCTCGTCTGGTCTTCGGTCATTAGTGTTCAACACGTCAAATCTTCTATTGAGATGGTCTCTAAATTCAGGTGGGATATACTCAAGGTCATACTTTGGCTCTCATGGACCTGTTCTAATTTTCTTCAGTTTCATCTTGAACTTGCATAGGAGCAATTGATGGTCTATTCCACAGTCAGCCCCTGGCCTTGTTCTGACTGATGATATTCAGCTTTTCCATCGTCTCTTTCCAGAGATGTAGTCAATTTGATTCCTGCATATTCCATCTGGCGAGGTCCATGTGTATACTTGCTGTTTATGCTGGTGAAAAAAGGTATTTGCAATGAAGAAGTCATTCGTCTTGCAAAATTCTATCATGTGATCTCCGGCATCATTTCTATCACCAAGACCGTATTTTCCAACTACTGATCCTTCTTCTTTGTTTCCTACTTTCGCATTCCAATCACCAGTAATTATCAATGCATCCTGACTGTATGTTCGGTAAATTTCAGACTGCAGAAGCTGGTGAAAGTGTTCAATTTCTTCATATTTGGCCTTAGTGGTTGGCACGTAAATGTCAATAATAGTTTTATTAACTGGTCTTCCTTGTAGCCGTATGGATATTATCCTATCACTGACAACACTGAACTTCAGGATAGATCTTGAAATGTTCTTTTTGAAGATGAATGCAATGCCATTCCTCTTCAAGCTGTCATTCTCAGCATAGTAGACCATATAACTGTCCGATTCAAAATGGCCAATACCAGTCCATTTCAGCTCACTAATGCCTAAAATATCGATGTTTATGTGTTCCGTTTCATTTTTGACAATTTCCAATTTTCCTATTTATTCCCATAATTGACCCTTTTCATGCCCTATGGCAGAGTTATTCGACTTTGTTCTATGGAACCTGGGGATTTCTTAGAGTTCCCCAGGGCAACTGCTTAGGGAAGGGGAGGAAGAGGGCTTAGGAAATGCTGGTCTCTTTCCAAGCCCCTGTCCCAACATTCACGCATCCAGAGAGCTTGGTTTTTTATCTGTTTTTTTTTTTTTTTTGGTCTTCTGAGTAAGATTTCTCTCGAGGAAAGGATTTCTTGGCAAAAAAGGTTTGGCAACGATTGCCCTAGAGAACAGCCACAGTGAGTGCGTGTGGTGGTTGGGCCTCTCAGGTACAATCAAGGTAGCTCAGGAAACTTGCATACACTTGGAAATCCCAGAAGAGTTAAAAACCAGGCCCCAGAAAGACAAGGCAGAGGCGATGTCAGGGACTAGGCAACTCACATCTCTCGTTCTCTACACACTCCTCCGTTCTCTTTTCTCTGCCCAAATGCTTCTGCTGATGGGCAGAATCTAGACTCCTCCATACCTCTAGGTCATACTCTTCACGAGCCAGCAGGCATCCTCGGGTGCTTTCCTGGGGGTTCTTGTGAGGAAACTTATTGGTGCAGGGCACCTTTGTAAGGCAGACCGGGCTTGTGGTGGTGGATCATCAAGTGTCTTCCCCACTCCAATAAGTTAGGGCTGAGGCAAAAAGGGATGTTGACCCCACACTTAAACCAAACCTGTTGCCCTTGAGTCGATTCCAACTCACAGCGACCCTGTAGGACAGAGTAGAACTGCCCCATAGGGTTTCCAAGGCTGTAATCTTTACGGAAGCAAACTCTCATATCCATCTCTTGTGGAGTGGCTGGTGAGTTTGAACTGCCAATCTTTCGGTTAGCAGCTGAGCACTTTAACCACACACTTAGCACTGAGTGTGGGAAAACAATGTGAAATAGCCCAGGATCAAGGGCATGACTATTTACTACACCTACTACACATGGTTTTACATCTGCTTTTCATTTAATCTTCACAAAACCCCTGAGAGAAGGTTATTGTTATCCTCATTACACAAAGGAGGGACATTTACCCCGTGGAGAGCCTGAGTATACAGAGCTAAGAAGTGGCAGAATCAGATTGAAATTCTAAGTTAATTAACTCCAAAACCTTGCTTTCCCCGCTACACCCAGGCAGCTTCTGCCTCCATCCGTAATGTAGCATTTTCCAGGATGTATCAGTCAGGGTTCCACCAGAGAAACAGATCCAGTAGGATACACATATGTTAAGAGATTTATTGGAAGGAATTAGTTTATTTGGTTGTGAGGGCTGGCTAGATAAGTCCGAAATCCACAGGGCAGGTCATCAGGAAGGGTGGTTGGAAAGTCAGGCAGAAGCTGATGCTGCAGTCCACAGGTAGAATGTCTTCTTCCTCAAGGAAACCTTAGTTCTGCTCTTAAGGCCATTCAACTGATTGGATCAGGCCCACCCAGATTACCCAGGATAATCTCCTTTACATAAGGTCTACTAATTGCAGATGTTAATCACATCTACAAAATACCATCATAGCAGCACCTACATTAGTGTTTGATTGAATAACTGGGTAGAATCAACTTGACAGCAACAGGTTTATAGCCTGGTCAAGCTGACACATAAAACCATCACATAGGTCATGGGCTAGAAACAACAACAACAAAAAAAAACCAAGCTCGTTGCCATCAAATTAATTCCAACTCATGGCGACCCCATGTGTTTCAGAGTAGAACTGCTCCATTGGGTTTTCAATGGCTATGATCTTAGATTGCCAGGTCTTTCTTCCACAGCACTGCTGGGTGGATTTGAATTGCCAACCTTTCAGTTAGTAGCCAAGTGCTCAACCGTTTGAACCACCCAGAAGGCTAGAAGACTGTAAGAGAACAGTGTCAGAGACCCCTGGAAAGAGCTGTTTACCCAAGAGCAGACCAGAGTGATAACTCTTGTTAGGTATTATCTCAGTTCTGCCCAAGCTGTAGGTAGATTTGTTCTGCTGGAGTAAGAAGTGTGCACATGAACAGACACCCATGCTCACCTAAGGTGGGCGGGGCTGGGGCAAAATGGTAGCGCCAGAGGGGGTGATCTTTGTCGTGGAATCACCTCACTTTTACCCTGGGTAGGAACAACTAGAGGCAGAGAAGATACTTGCCCTGCTTCCGTGTCCTTATGGGTCCTTTCTTGCTAGAATGCAGCACTTATAACTGGATAGTATTCTAAGGTACTAAACACCAATCGATGGGTCATTACACTTGGAATGAAGGAAGGAAAGTTCTAAATTACCCCTGGTTTGTAAGGACAGGAGCCCTGGTGGCCCAGTGGTTAAGAAATCAGCTGCTAACCAAAAGGTTGGCAGTTCGAATCCACCAGCCGCCCCTTGGAAGCCTTATGGGGCAGTTCTACTCTGTTCTATAGGGTCACTATGAGTTGGAATCAACTCAATGGCAATGGGTTTGGTTTGTTTTTTTTGTGTGTGTTTTGTAAGGACAAATTACATGAAATTGCTGGTCTTCAATCATTTCTGACCAAATATCATCTGATTTAACCCAATAAATGGCAGGCTGAATTGTGGGGTGATCCTTTTTTGCAGTAATTATGAGCATTTAGGTGCTAATGACTTTTGGAAGACCAGAGAAAATTTTGTCTTCTTGGATTTTGTTTTACTTTTCTTAAGCTGTGGTTTGTTTATTCAGTCTTACTGCAATCCCAATGGTCTGTATGGGCGATCAGGACCCTCCACACAGCCACACTGACGGCCTATCGTCTCACCAGCTTATGCCTGATGGTGTCTCCCCTCTTTTCAGATGCCTACACAGAAGATGACCTCATGCTGTACTGGAAAAAGGGCAACGATTCCTTAAAGACAGATGAGAGGATCTCACTCTCACAGTTCCTCATTCAAGAATTCCACACCACCACTAAACTGGCCTTCTACAGCAGCACAGGTGAGCATGAGGTGGGGGCTGAGTGTCTGGGGGCCTTTGGAAAGGTGTGAATTGGTCCTTGAGTGATCAGAGCCTGTCTTAGTCATCTAGTGCTGCTACAACGGAAATACCACAAGTGAATGGCTTTAACAAAGATAAATTTATTTTCTCACAGTCTAGTAGGCTAGAAGTCCAAATTCAGGGCATCAGCTCCAGGAGAAGGCTTTCTCTCTCTGTCGGCCTTCTTGTCAATCTTCCCCAGGACTAAGAGCTTCTCCACGCAGGGACCCCGGGTCCAAAGGACACACTCTGCTCCCGGCACTGCTTTCTTGGTGGTATGAGGTCCCCAACTCTCTGCTTGCTTCCCTTTCCTTTTATCTCTTGTATAAGGTAAAAGGGAGTGCAGGCCACACCCCAGGGAAACTCCCTTTACATTGGATCAGGGATGTGACCTTAGTAAGGGTGTTACAATCCCACCCTGATCCTCTTTAACATAAAATTACAATCACAAAATGGAGGACAACCACACCATACTGGGAATCATGGCCCAACCAAATTGATACATACGTTTTTTGGGGGGCATGATTCAATCCATGACAGCCCATTTCCCATCTGGATATGAAACCAAAGACAGGACTCCTAAATGAAGTCTAGAGGGTGGCAAGCATTGGGTGGAGGTGATTGCCAACTCAACATGTTTTACGTGTACAACTCCTTGACATTGATTACGTTCATCATGTTGTGCAACTATCAGGAGGTGATTTTTTGATACCATCAAAGCATCAGGAGTGATAGCCTAAAAAATCTTAGTAAGGACCAAACATTAGCCATGCGAGTAGGTTTATTTGACACAATCACATTGCAACTCAGCAGCCAACATCTCATCATTGACATTACAACCAGAGCCCCCTCCTTTACAGCCAAGAAACGACTCTGTCATGGATTGAACTGTGTCACCCTAAAATATCTGTTGTAAATCTAACCCCTATATTCCTGTGGTTATAAACCCATTGGGAATGTGTTTTCTTTTTTATGTTAATGAGACAATATTGGTGTAGAATGTATCTTGAGTCAATCTCTTTTGAGATATAAAAAGAGCAGGCTAGGCATAGAGAAGCAAGCAGAAATGGGGGAAGATAGGTGCTACATCACACACCACATGAAGAGCACCAAGGAGCCAAGGAATAGACACTGAAGAGACAAGGACCTTCTCCCAGAGCAGACAGAGAGAGAAAGCCTTCCCCTAGAGCTGGAGCTCTGAATTTGGACTTTTAGCCTCCTAAACTGTGAGAAAATAAATTTCTGTTTGTTAAAGCCACCCACTTGTGATATTTTTGTCATAGCAGCACAAGATAACTAAAACAGACTCTAATCTCAGATTCGTTTTCCTTTCCCATTCTGCCTGCCTCCAGCCAGCTCCTCTGTGTTGCTCCGCTCTTGACTAATCCCCTCTCGCTATATACTTGCACAGCCCCTCCTCCAAGCCTCAGGGCAGGAAAAACTAGTCATTTTCCTGCATACATTGTTGCTGCCTTGTGAACCAAGGGTTTGGACTTGCTTGCTACCTCCCGTTGCCTGAGGACACGCTCTGTGGTCTTCCTCCTGACAGCCTGTCTGTGCTATTTAAACAACTGAGATTAATTCTGTCCTTTGTCTCTTTTTTTGGCCAGTCACCTTTCAGAACGACTTTGCTTAAATCTTCATACAATTTCTATTGCTAAAACATTACACAATTGACTGCACAGTGCAGTTCAACATTTTAAGCACACTGTGGGCTTTCTAATCTGTAACAGAGAGTACATTCTACTCAGAACATATTGCAATCCAACACATTTTCTCTCCTGTATACATCACCCATGAATCTTGGTCTGCTTCCATAAAGATTACAGCCTTGGAAGCTCTATGGGGCAGTTCTACTCTGTCCTCCAGGGCCGCTATGAGTCAGAATCAACTCGACAGCAATGGGTTCAAGTATACATCACCCATGAGTCTTGGTTCATCAGGGGACCCCCATTCTTTTGATCCTTAGCATTCTGCCTGTTACAACCACGTTCTGGAGCCAAGAGACATGTCCCAGGCATTATAATTACCCTTGCGTGCCAAATTTTCAAGTTGTCTCCAAGTCCCTGCTTTATTTCCTGCCCTAGTCATCTCAAGCTTATCCTGCCTTTTCCTTTTCCCACCATAGTTCATCCATGCCTCTCAACTCCTCTATGCATAGTTTTTCCTTGTTAAGAACACAAGGGCCGAGCTAAAGCACAGCTGGTCCTCTGATGGTTCACTCTGTTCCTAAATGCAGTATTGTGTTTAGCTTGATATTTTAACTTAAAATATATTTTCTCCCATAAAGAAATCCAAAGGGGTTGCTTAAATAAGTGTTTCTCTAACTTTAACATGCATACTAATCATGTTGGGAATATTGTTAAAAAGGAGATCCTAATTCAGTAGGTCTCAGGGTGCCTGAGGCTGCAGTTCAGATAAACTTCCAGATGATGGTGATGCTGCTGGACCCCAGATCATGAAAGAGTTCAAATGACATTCTCAAAAATTTCCCTTTGAGTATAGAAAAGAACCAAAGATTTCTTGAGAAGGATTCATCCAAGTGGTGTGGGTTGTGGTAAATCACTTAGTTCCATGGTTCTTCTCACTCCCACCTTATGGAGGTATGGTACTATATGGAAGAAGTGTCTAAGGCATTTATGTTTCCCTGGATAAAATATGTTTTATGAAGGAGCTGCTTAGCTATGGTATGTGCTATCTTTTCTTCCTTGTGTCTCCCAGGCTGGTACAACCGTCTGTACATTAACTTTACTCTGCGTCGCCACATCTTCTTCTTCTTGCTCCAAACTTATTTCCCTGCCACCCTGATGGTCATGCTGTCCTGGGTATCCTTCTGGATCGACCGCAGAGCTGTGCCTGCCAGAGTCCCTTTGGGTAAGGAACATTTCAAATACACATTCCAGGTGTCCAAAAATACAAGTACTTCCTTCCAGATAAAGCCATTCTTTTCAAATTGGTCCTATACTTCACTTCCACAACTTGGAAAAATTTCATACTTATTCACAGGTAAAACCAAAAAGCCAAACCCTATTGCCATCAAGTCGGTTCTGACTCATGGTGATTCCATGTGTTACAGAGTAGAACCACTCTGGAGGGTTTTCATGGCAGTAATCTTTTCACAAGTAGATTGCTAACGCTTTCTTCTGGGTGCCACTGGGTGGGTTTGAACCGTTTTCGCCACCTAGGGACCCCCATTCACAGGTAAAATCCCATAATAAAGGATCTCTGAAGCAAAATTGTTTCCAAGTCCTCACAGATGCCCATAGCAACAGCCCTCCTTTGGTCTTGTTAGAGCAGTGTTCTGGTGTGGGTGGTCCTGTCCACCTGCCTAAGGAAATCACATTCTATAACAGGATTTCTCAAAAGAAGATCCAAGAGATTTGTGCAGCAGAATCTCCCAGAGAAATTTAAAAATGGAGAGTTCTGGACCTCATCTAGTAGTAAGAGTCAGAATCTCTGCATGAGGCCCAGGAATCAACATTTTTGTTAACATGCTCTCCCAGTAATTCTTGTACATACTCAAGTCTGAGAACCACTGCTCTATGAGTACTCAGTTGATGGCTATTTGCCATCAACCCTCCTCCCCACTTTAAATATTGCACCACTTAGTCACACACACCATCATTGCTCAGACAGGTCAGGCGGTACAAGGGAGACGTAGACCTACCCCTCCCTTTAATGAAACTGGATTGGATCTGGGACTTAAGATGACCCCAATCCCCTGTGGTTTGATGTTTGTCAAGCAAATGTTCTGTGCTTAATTTGAAATCCCGGTCAAATTTCCACTGACAGATGCCATGTCCGTTAATAGTTCTTCTGTAGCTTGAACAGTTACTGTGTTAAATCAATGTACATTCTGGTTTTAAAGATCAGTCTCGTATAAATGAGGTTAACATCATCATGCTTGGGAAAACTAACCTCAGAGTCCTCAAGTCGACATTGCAGAGTAGACAGCCAGGTCCATCACGGGGGCGGCTTCCGGAAGATGCCCTGTCAGCCGATTAACACAGGCCCAGGACTACAGAATGCGGCAACAGCAGCAAGGACAAAAATATTAAAATCAATCTTGTATACTTTATTTCCTTGAGGGTACAGCAGTTACAAGAAACATATATACCTGCTCATATCTACATATTTTTTAAACAATTGAATTGAAATAAATCTCTTAATGCTCAAAAGTCTGAGGTTCTCTGCAGAAGGATAAAGTGGCACAGATGCTATCACTACACACAGGACATACACAGCGGGGGAAGGGAGCAAGAACAGGAAAAGCCTTGCAGCAGCTAAATCTTAAAAGATGAGTAGGAGTTTGCTAGACAGAGAAGAAGGGATGGAGACATCCTAGGCAGAGGCAGCAGTGGAGACAAAGAAGCAGAGGTATGAAGCCATCCAATGTGTTTGGTGAAAGACAAGCAAATGCTTATTTCTCACTGTATATATTTGTGTTGCAGGTATCACCACGGTGCTGACCATGTCCACCATTATCACGGGTGTGAACGCCTCCATGCCCCGCGTCTCCTACATCAAGGCCGTGGACATTTACCTCTGGGTCAGCTTCGTGTTCGTGTTCCTCTCGGTGCTGGAGTACGCGGCTGTCAACTATCTGACCACCGTGCAGGAGCGGAAGGAGCGGAAGCTGCAGGAGAAGGTGATTTTACCACGAGCTCAAAGGTTCTCGTCAGGGAGAGAGCCTGGGCTCGTTCTGGGACCTTGACAGGTCAGACCTTCTCTGTAAAATGGGGCTAATAACAGCTCCCCTCCCCCCAGTTGCTTCACAGAGTTGTTGTGAAGAGCAAACAAAATGATGTATGTTAAAACATTGTGAAATTTACTCTGGGCTATATCTTTCATTCACTGAGACATTTATTTAGCACCTACCATATACCAGGAGGAAACCTTGGTGGCGTAATGGTTAAGAGCTACAGCTGCTAACTGAAACGTCAGCAGTTCGAATCCACCAGGCGCTCCTTGGAAACGCTGTGAGGCAGTTCTACTTTGTCTTAAAGGGTCGCTATGAGTTGGAATCTCCTTGACAGCAACGGGTTTGGTTTGGTTTTTTTATATACCAGGAGCTGGTAGGCCAAATTAACTAAAATGTAGTTCCTTTAATTTTGAGGGTGTTCATAGTTTAGTGAGGGAATCTCGGGACAAAAATAAATGGCAATTCAACATGGTAGAGCAAATTATTTATGAACATAGAGGTGTAATAAAAGAATACTCCAGTAAAGCACATTCTCCTTTGTAGGAAATTTCCCAGCATATGTGACCCCATAATCTCCCTTTGTTTCCCAGGTTATCTTCCCTCCCATCTGACTTTCCTTTCTTCTTCCAGTCTGCAGGACAATGGTTAGCTCCTCCAGAAAACTCCCTGCAATGCTGCGACTTTCCAATTCCCACCTTCATCTCAGACACACGCAGTCTCACACACACATATACTCATACACACCAGCAATAATTTTATCTGTAAACATTTTTATCAGGGCTTGTAATAGTTTATGGTCTCACGGGTAAGAGGGCAATTATTTAAACACGAACATTCTTGTTGGTCTCTGGTGTGACATGGTGACATTTCCTAAGAGCCGGAATGTAGACTTTAAGAACCAGTTGCTGTCAAGTCAATTTTGACTCATGATGACCCCATGTGTTTCAGAGTAGAACTGTGCTCCATAGGGTTTTCTAGGCTGTGACCTTTCGGAAGCAGATCACCAGGCCTTTCTTTTGAGGTGGTCTTGTTGGATTCAAACCACCAACCTTTTTGTTAGTGGCCAAGCACTTAACCGTTCATGCCACCCAGGCAACCTTAGGTAGGCTTTAGTTAAACAAAAATGAATACCTGCTATTTTAAAATGTTTACAGTCACACCACCTTTAGTTTCGCACCTCCGTCCCTAACTGGGAATAAAAAGAAACTAGAAAAAGACACCACACTCCACTGTGCAGTTTCTTCCAGAGGGCTTCTTCGAAGTGAAGCTGAGCTCCCATCCCAGTGTGTGTTTGCTTCCTCGCAGCTTCCCTGCACCTGTGGGTTACCCCAGCCGCGTGCGGTGATGCTGGATGGCAGCTACAGTGACGGCGAAGTGAATGACCTGGGAACCTACATGCCCGAGAATGGCGAGAAGCCAGACAGGATGATGGTTCAGCTGACCCTGGCCTCGGAGAGGAGCTCCCCGCAGAGGAAAAGCCCAAGAAGCAGCTACGTGAGCATGAGGATCGACACCCATGCCATTGACAAATACTCCAGGATAATTTTTCCAGCAGCATACATTTTATTCAATCTAATATACTGGTCTATTTTCTCATAAATACCTGCAATCCTATAAATTTCACATTCTCCACAGTATGTAGTACTACAGAAATACTTACATGATGAAAAATTCTTTGTGGTTATGGTAAAAAAAAAAATTCCAGTTACCCACCCTTATTTTCACTATCCCTTCTCCAGTTTTCCATAGTTACATGGACATACTCACTGGTTTAATTTGCACTTAACTGTCTGTCGTATACACAGCATTATACTAGGTGCTTCAGAAATATGACACCCGTAGCAACTGATGATAGTTACCGATATTCCCTGTAAAAGCACACTACCAGTGTTAGAGCACACTATAGTTCAACTTCTTTTAGATCCTAGATGCTTATTCACATGATTTCCTTTGAGCATCATTATATTCTTTGGACCAGATGGAATTGGGGAGCACCTAAAGTTCATTTGCATGGAACATAAATGCATCTCAATCCCCACTTTGACAGAAATTCATGCATCAGTTTATAGCCTCTCACCTATTTTTTATGCATTTCTTCATGTTTATTTTAATAAAGACTGATAATATTCATATTTTTGTTTATGCTGTGATTCATGAGATTTCACTTCTTCACAAGAAAAGCTCTTTAAGATTGCTGCAATTTGCTCTGATTTTGGTGGGAATTTCCCTGCAAGGGAAACTTTGAAGATAAGGGTATATGCATGCATTTTGTTAGTTCTGACATAGAGATAACTAGGCTAGGAAACTTGTGTCTCAGTGTTCTCTGTTTTACAATCACCGCTTCATGTATCCCCCCCACCTTGCAGCACGTCCTAATTCAAAGTGAAGTCCTTTCTCAGTAACGTGACATCTTCAGTGAGGAACTTGGAAATAGACTGATTTCTTCTGTATAAACAACATTTCAAGAAAATGCATAATTTGGAACTGCCCATAATTCATTAGAATGAGAAATATTCTCATGGTTTCTTAAGAGAAAAAGAACACCAAAAAGACAGATAAAAGATAAATGGGAAGACATTCACCAGACAGCTGCCTTGATACTCAGTGAATACGAGCATTTTCTATGAGCCAGAAAACAGTCATCATCTAAACCAGGCAGTCCGTACACCAGGCAGAAGCATAGCCCAATGGTAACTGACATTAGGACCTGGAATAAAGGAGAAGGTTCTAATTTGGTGTATTATTTTAAAACAAAGTTATTTGTACTCTGTATCTACAGGACCAACCACCACCAAACTCACCCAAACAGCATTTGTCTTGTTGAAATTCACTTTAATAAAGTGAATTCTATACACAATAATGTCATTTTTACTACAAAGTTAGACTGTTATCGATAGTAAATAATATATTTCTTAATATGCAGGGCTATACTTTATTCTAATCTAGATAGGTGGGTGGGTGGATGGATGGATGGATGGATGGATAGACAGAGATAGATATACACACATATATATGCACAAATCCTAGGTATAAGACAATCTCCCATTTTCCCAATGGAAGCTCATCAAAAGAAAGCTTTTTGGCTAACTCAACTAGATAAAGGGATATAGACGAAATATTTAAATGTTAACCTTTAACATTTAAAATACTATTTTAAAAGCATTGCTTTCCTCATACTTAATTTTATGAAACAATTTCAAACTCTTCACAAACATCTTTGCCATTGGCTTCTTCCTCATCACAGTCATCGAGCAGCTTTCCAGGGCACATCAGAACTTCTGCCTACCTTGTTTGAGATACTCCACCATTTGAACCAGCATATAGGGCTCCCAGGGGAATTATCCATCTGCATAATAATATATCTATGCATGTGACAGGTGTTTATTCTTGATCATTACAACATAATCTCATACAGTATTATCTTTTAAAGTAATCTTCAAAAGGCTTATTTATATTGATACTAATGATTGTGAGGAATAAAGTGACTAAATTCATATTAAATTTCTTGCTACCCCGAGGAATTAACCACTGCACCACCAGGGCTCCCTCTCTGAAGAAGGACAAAGCCAAAAAAAATAAAAGTCCCAGTAAAGTATGTTTAATTTTGCCAGTCCAAGAAAGCAAGCAGTCATCTGTGCCTGGTTATCCAGTGACCATCACCTTCATATTTCCAAAAGAGCACCGGCATGCCCAGCAGCATGTCTATAACAGTAAAATCTCACATGTGTAAAACCTAGTTTTACTAAAAGCACTTTCATGTTTACTGTCTCATTTGAACCTGAATAAGGAAACTTTAAGGTCCAGAGAGGCTGACTGGCTGACATGCAGATAACATGGTTAATAAGTGAAAGACGCCTAACCAAGTGCTCATCCACCTCAATACAGATAATAGATGAATACTGAACAAGTAAACAAACTGTCATACACAATATATAAATATTGTTGTTGTTGTTAGGTGTCCTCGAGATGATTTCGACTCATAAGAGTCCCTGTGTAAGAGAGTAGAACTGCCCCACCGGGTTTTCTAGGCTGTACTCTTGTTATTGTTAGTTGCCGTTGAGTCGATTCCAACTCATGGTGACCCCATGTGTGCAGAGTAGAACTGCTTCATAGATTTTTCAAGGCTGTGACCTTTCAGAATTAAGATTGCCAGGTCTGTCTCCTGAGACGCTTCTGGGTGTTCGAACCACCAACCTTTCAACCAGTAGTCAAGTGCTTAACTATTTGCACCTCCCAGGGACTCCTAGGCTATACTAGTATGATGAAATATTTTTCTTACCAATCAATGGCATATTTTTATTAATTCATTCATCCAACAAATAATATTGAACACCTATTATGTGTTAGCAGCCGTGGTGGTGTAGTGAGTGGTTTAGAGCTCGGCTGCTAACCAAAAGGTCAGCAGTTGGAATCCACCAGGCGCTCCTTGGAAACCCTATGGGGCAGTTTTATTCTGTCCTGTAGGGTCACTATGAGTCGGAATCGACTTGACTGCAACGGGTTTGGTTTGCTTCTGGTATTACATATTAGGCAGTGCTCCAGACTAGTGCTTCTCAAACTGTGTTAAAGGGCGAGTTTGTTTTATTTTTTAAATTTTCCAATCCATCAGCCTTTTAGATGATGGGTTTTTCAAAGTGCAGAATCCCTCACATACCCAGTTCTGCACCTGCCTCCAATCCTCCAGGAACATAGACTTGCTGGTTTTGAACATAGAACCTGATACGGCATGTGGATATCATCATAATCACAGTAATTCATGTACGGAAAAAACAATTTCATTTCGATGTTAGCAAGAACAATTGTTTCAACATTTGAATTTAAGAGATTACTATGTATGGGAAATTCTAGTACCTGCAGTAATAATAAAGCATATTATCTAATTTACACATCAAAAGTTTTAGGATAACATCTATTTAGTTCATTTTGATATTATCACAACTCTCAAAGAGTTGCTTTAATTTTTAAATTCTATATCCTGAATTTAATCTTAATCTATTTTCTGTATATTTATGTTTTTTTTTTAAATGATTGTACTTTAGATGAAGGTTTACAGAACAAACTAGCTTCTCATTAAACAGTTAGTATATATATTGTTTTATGACATTGGTTAATAACCCCACGACATGTCAACAGTCTCCCTTCTCGACCTTGGGTTCCTTTTACCAGCTTTCCTATCCCCTCCTGCTTTCTCCTCCTTGTCGCTGGGCTGGTGTGCCCCTTTAGTCCTGTTTTGTTTTATGGGCCTGTCTAATCTTCAGCTAAAGAGTGAACCTCAGGAATGACTTCATTACTGAGCTAAAAAGGTGTCCAGGGGCCATACTCTCAGGATTTCTTCAATCTCTGTCAGGCAGTAAGTCTGGTCTTTTTTTGTGAGTTAGAATTTTGTTCTACATTTTTCTCCACCTCTGTCTGGGACCCTTTATTGTGATCCCTGTCAGAGCATTCAGTGGTGGTAGCCAGGCACCATCTTGTTGTGCTGGACTCAGTCCGGTGGAGGCTGTGGGAGTTGTGGCCCATTAGTCCTTAGGACTAATCTTTCTCTTTTGTCTTTGGTTTTCTTCATTCTCCCTTGATCCCTGTCATGGTTTGAATTATGTCCCCCAAAAAATGTGTGTATCAATTTGGCTATGCCATGATTCCTGGTACTGTGTGATTTTCCTGTATGTTGTAAACCTACCTCTATGATGTTAATGAGGGAGGATGGGTGGCAGTTGTGTTAGTAAGGCAGGACCTGATCTACAAGACTGGATTGTGTCCTGAGGCAATCTCTTGAGATATAAAAGACAGAAGTTAGCAGTGAGACAGGAGGACCTCATACCATCAAGAAAGCAGTGCCAGGAGCAGAGCGCATCCTTTGGACCGGGGTCCCCGCGCCGAGAAGCTCCTAGTCCAGGGGAACACCAAAGAGGAGAAGGCTCACAGAAAAAGCCTTCCCCTGGAGCTGACTCCCTGAATTTGGACTTTTAGCCTACTTTGACTGTGAGGAAATAAATTTCTCTTCATTAAAACCATCCACTTGTGGTATTTCTTTTATGGCAGCACTAGATGACTAACACACTCCCGAAGGGGTGAGACCAGTGGAGTATCTTAGAAGGCCACTCACAAGCTTTTAAGACCTCAGAAAATGCAGAACATTTTCTTTATAAACTGTGTTATGCCAATTGAGCTAGATGTTCCCCGAGACCATGGTCCCCACAGTCCTCAGCCCAGTAATTCAGTCCCTCAGGGAGTTTGGATGTGTCTATGGAGCTTCCACGACATTTCCTTGGACAAGTTGTGCTGGCTTCCCCAGTGTTGTGTACTGTCTTACCCTTCACCAAAGTTACCACTTATCTATTGTCTATTTAGTGTTTTTCCATCCCTGCCCCTCCACTCCCTCCTAACCATCAAAGATTGTTTCTTTTTGTGTGTAAACCTTGTCATGAATTTTTATAGTAGTGGTCTCATACAATATTTGTCCTTTTGTGGTTGACTTATTTCACTCAGCATAATTCCCTCCAGATTCAACTGTGTTGTGAAATGCTTCGCAGATTCATCATTCTTCTTTCTCGTTGCATAGTACTCCATTGTGTGTATGTGCCATAGTTGGTTTTTCCATTCATCTGTTGATGGACATCTAGTGTGTTTCCATCTTTTTGCTACTGTGAACAATGCTGCAGTGAACATGGGTGTGTATATGTCTATTCGTGTGACAGCTCTGATTTCTCTAGAATATATTCCTACAAGTGGTATTGCTGGATCATAATTCTAGTTTTCTAAGGAAGCAACATATCATTTTCCAAAATGGTTGTACCATTTTGCATTCCCACCAGCAGTGCATAAGAGTTCTGATCTCCCCAAAGCCCCTCCAACACTGGCTATTTTCTGGTTTTTTTTGATTTGTGTCAGTAATGCCGAGGTGAGATAGTATCTCATTGTGGTTTTGGTTTGCATTTTTCTAATGGCTAGTGATCCGGAGCACTTCCTCATGTGTCTGTTAGCTGCTTGAATGTCTTCTTTGGTGAAATGTCTGTTCATTTCTTTTGCACATTTTTAATTGGATTATTTGTCTTTTTGTTATAGAGGTGTTGGATTTTCCTGTAGATTTTAGAGATTAAAACTTTTAGTCAAAATTTTTTCCCAGTCTGTAGGTTCTCTTTTAACTCTTGTGTTGAAGTCTTTTGATGATCATAAGTGTTTAATTTTTAGAAGATCCCAGTTATCTAGCTTATCTTCTGGAGTTTGTGTGTTGTTAGTTATGGTTTGTATCCTGTTAATGCTGTGTACTAGGGCCTCTAGCATTGATTCTATTTTTTCTCCTATGAACTTTATAGTTTCTGGCTTTATATTTAGATCTTTGATCCATTTTGAATTAGTTTTTGTGTATGGTGTGAGGTATGGGTCTTGTTTCATTTTTTTGCAGACAGACATCCAGTTTTGCCAGCACCATTTGTTATAAAGACTGTCTTCCACATTTAATGAACTTTGGGCCCTTGTCAAAAATGAAGTGACTGTAGGTGGATGGATTTACACCTGGGTTATCAATTCGGTTCCATTGGTCAATATATCTGTTGTTGTACCAGTACCAGGATGTTTTGACTACTATAGCTGTATAGTAGGTTCTGAGATCAGGTAGTGTGAGTCCTCCTACTTTCTTCTACTTCTTCAACGGTACTTTACTTATCCAGGGCTTCTTCCCTTTCCATATAAAATTAATGAATAGTTTTTCCATCTCTTTAAAGAATGCTGTTGGTATTTGGATCAGGATTGCATTGTATTTGTAGATAACTTTGGGTAGAATTGACATTTTTCACAAGGTTGAGTCTACCTGTCTATGAGCCTGGTATGTTTTTCCATTTATGTAGATCTTTTTTGGTT